CCAGAACAATTAATCTCATGAGGAGTCAGGGAACTGCAAATTAAAGAAACAAGTGAGCGTATCTTTACAGACATCAGACTGGCAAAACTTAAAAAGGGATAACAGCTACTGCTTTCAGGAATATGTGGAAAAGGCTATTCTCACACATTGCTAGTGGAAATGTGAACTGTTATAGTATTTTGGAAAGCAAAATTAAAATTAAAAAAATATATACTCTTTTTCTCGGCAATCTATTCATAGGAAGAATTTTCCTACTTATGTAAAAGCACCAGTGTGAAAGGTTATACATAGAAAGATATTTACTGCAACCTGGTGTGCCATTGGAAAAAAAGTAAAAAATTAGGTGTTAGGTACAAAAATGATTAAATAAATTATGGTTCATGCATATAATAGAAAAATTACGCAGCTATTAAAAAGAATGATTTGGCCGGGCGCGGTGGCTCAAGCCTGTAATCCCAGCACTTTGGGAGGCCGAGGCGGGTGGATCACGAGGTCAAGAGATCGAGACCAGGCCGGGCACGGTGGCTCAAGCCTGTAATCCCAGCTCTTTGGGAGGCCGAGGCGGGTGGATCACGAGGTCAAGAGATCGAGACCATCCTGGTCAACACGGTGAAACCCCGTCTCTACTAAAGCTACAAAAAATTAGCTGGGCATGGTGGTGCGTGCCTGTAATCCCAGCTACTCAGGAAGCTGAGGCAGAAGAATTGCCTGAACCTAGGAGGCGGAGGTTGCAGTGAGCCGAGATCGCGCCATTGCACTCCAGCCTGGGTAACAAGAGTGAAACTCTGTCTCAAAAAAAAAATAAAAAATAAAATAAAATAAAGAATGATTTAGAACTATCCAGGGTTTTTGGAGGGGAATCCATGACAATTTAGATCAGATAGATGAAATGCATAGTGTGTCTATTATGCATAGACACACACAGTATATATGTATCAGATTTCATGAGCATGGGAAAAGAAAAGGACATATTTATACCGTATTTTGATATTGATTCCCAAAGATGAAGAAAACAACCAACTAAGCAATATTTTAAAAATTAAGCAGCCGGGCGCGGTGGCTCAAGCCTGTAATCCCAGCACTTTGGGAGGCCGAGGTGGGTGGATCACGAGGTCAAGAGATCGAGACCATCCTGGTCAACATGGTGAAACCCCGTCTCTACTAAAAAAATACAAAAAATTAGCTGGGCATGGTGGTGCATGCCTGTAATCCCAGCTACTCAGGAGGCTGAGGCAGGAGAATTGCCTGAACCCAGGAGGCGGAGGTTGCGGTGAGCCAAGATCGCGCCATTGCACTCCAGCCTGGGTAACATGAGTGAAACTCCGTCTCAAAAAAAAAAAAAAAAAAAA